TTCATCTGCTTCTCTCTGGTTTTTATTTTTTATGAATTTGAAATAAATAGTAGTTTATGTTGTTATGCATGGATGTAGATTACATTGGAGGGTACACATCATGGACCCGTGACAAATAAGCCGACTATGTTTGTTGAAATAGGTAAGTTTCGTCTCATTGCAGATTTCTTGCAACATGATTTATTTCTTTGATTGTAACGAGGCTTTGGTTTAACTTTTGGAATTAAACTCAGTGCGCAAACATAGAGCAGCAGAATTTGCTTTTGGTGAGAAGATGCTTATGAATGTTTAATCATGGAGAGAAGTAAATTACAAGTGATATATGATGGCATAAACCTAATGTTCAATTAGTTTATCTATATATTAGTTTTCACGATAAACATTTCATTTGAGCTTTCCAGGTTGATTAATGTTGCCCACAAAATAAATACATTATATATGTTTTAATGTCTTTAGAAGATGTTGTATAGCTTATTTTTCCCAGACAAGATAATCATCTTCATACTTGAGAAGGGCAGGAACCATCTTAATTTCTGAGGTGGAATGCAACTTAGTAACAACCACATAGCGTACTTGTAAGATTATCAAAGTAATGTAATAAAACGTGATAGAATCAGGAGATTTGCAAAGCTATTCGTGCCAATAATGTATTGTGAAATTAACAAATATTTAGTGTAAAAGAACTGAAATTGCAAGAGAAAGAGAAGTGCAAAATTTTCATTTATTTGGGACGATTCACAAAACCAAAGGAATCTCTATTTATAGAGTCCCAAGCTGCTTACCTAAACCAATTGGGCTTGGCCACAAAACCAGGCATGTGTCAAAATGGAGGGAATCCTGCTCTTCATAATATGTGAGTAATTGAAAATCTGTGTCTTATGTTTAATATTTTCTACTGATTGATATAGGTAGTACAGAGGAATATTGGAGGAGACAGGATGCTGCTCAAGTCATTGCTCTGGTTGAGTACATATTTTCGACTTTACTATTTCAAGCATTAATTTTTTCTGTCTCTATTGTATAGTATAATATGCAGGTTGTTAGAAATCACATTCTTTTTTCACTAAATATTTTGTTGTGTTTGTGCCTGAAGTTAATTTGGGAGGGACTTGGTCTTGGGGAAGGTGCAGCTATAGGAAATTGGAGCAGGTACTGACACCATTATTGAACAACAATCTCAGCTTTTGTCCCTCATTTGAATAATTTTTTTTTTTTTTTTGGCATAAAAGAGTTCCTTGAGTAATATCATTATACACTTCAATGCATGTATTTTGATTGTCCAACAAAACTGTGTCTCTCTGCATAAGTAGACTTGTTTCTTTTTTGATTTTCTTGTGCTCGCTTACTTGTTTAATGTGAATGGTGAGCTGGTGCTCCAAGTATCATGTGAACTTCTCTTCTGGTTGCATGTTCTGTTTACTGTTTCTGTAACTTAATCATCGCATGCTTGCATTTTGAATATTCATTGTATGTATGCCCTTTGACAAATTCTTTGATTTATTATACATCTTGCCATTTTCCATCAAATCATTAAACCATCTTCTTCTTGATGATGCTTTGCTTACCCTATTCTTCTATATTGATATCCTAGGGAGAATGGCAAGAACAAGGTTCTTCTTGGGATAGGTGGAGGACATTATGCACCTCGGCATATGGACATAGCTCTGTAAGTTAATGTTGTATGTCATTTTTCCATTTCCACATAGGGCTATATCTGAAACCTTCCTGTTAGTATCACATATAACCTATGAACTATAAGTTTGTTATATGAAAGATTGGGCTAAGAGTGTTAAATTTGTTTCTGCAAAAACATCTAAATTGGCCTTAATATATATTTTTCCCTTCACTTCACACTCCCTATGTTTCAGTTCCCCAATTTTAAATTGAGATATGTACTTCCATACAAAAATGTGCAGGCATGTGTTTGTAGAATTTTTTCTTTTAATGAACTCAACTATTTTTGGTTTATCAACAGCTTTCTTAGTATGTGCATGTATTCAGGAGGCTGTTGTAGGACAAGTACTTATTCATTTGTGTTTCCTTTTCAAAGTCACAGCTTCTTGCACTGGGGAACTTGGGTAGTTTATGCATATACAGAATAAATGGAATGTGGAAAAAGTGTTAACGTATGATAGATTGAAGTTTTCTTTATAGTACTTTCAAGGCTCTCCAATCCTCCTAAATAACAGAAAGAGAAAAAAAAAAAAAGAGTAAATGACTTATAGTTTTTCTTCAGCATCTTAATGGACCATTTCATTGTTTGTAATAATAGGAAAGATGATGTATGGGTAGGCCATCTACTTTCTGGATATTCCTTGCCAATGGAAGATCCAAACCAGTCAAAAGCAGATACCGTTGCAAAAGATATTGGTGGAACTTGGAAACAGGCCATTAAAGCAGCTTTTGATACTACGAAATCAGCTTTTCCTGGTGGGGAAATTTTGGCGCATCTTGACCACAAGTGAGTTCACAAACTAGACATTTTTAACGCAACTCTTAACACTTTTTGCATTTTAAACCACATTTTGTTTCTTCATAGTCTTGGCTGGGGGCAATGAAATCAAATGTTTGGAAGAGTTGGTGCCCCTTCCATTTCTGCTAAGCCATTAAAGACCTTTGCAGATGCTATAGATGTCTGGGTTGTGGAATTTTACCAGAGTCTCAGGTATAATAATAAGGTCATTTTTCTCATCTCTATTTGAAAATGAAGAACAAAATTGTGTAAGCAATTTTAACTTGATGGTTTGTAGTGAAAGATCTTAGATGAGCTAGTAAGGTTTCGAATCATGTTTCTTCAATGCTCTGGTTGTTTCTCTTCAATGGCTTTAGAAAATGGCGAACTAGGAATTTTTAAAATCTATTGTAGATTCTAGTTTTTTTTTTTAATGTAACAGTTTTAAAATTTCAGGATAAAACATACTCTTAAGATACGTCAAAAACAAATGCTTGATCTAAATGTGTGGTTACTTCAATTGATTATGTGTGGCCGTTTAATTTGGGTGATGTGAAAAGTAAAATACACGGGGAGAGTGCTCTTTAATTTGGGATTATGGTCTCATTATTGGACATTTATACGTTGTTTGTCCTGTTCTTTGTTTTCCAGCCATGATACATATTTGTCCAGGACATGTTAGATAATCTGTGACTTAAGCAAATTACTGATTGCAGGAGTTTTAAAGGCTGGCAGAAAAATGCCATTACTGGATTTCTGAGTGAGCAGAATATCAAAGTTGGGAAGCCAAATGACTTCAACTGATATGGATGTTCGGTCTTGCGGACAGTTTCATCATTTCTTGAAATGAGAAAGTTTGGGAGTTTGACAACTTGCCACAGACTCCATCACAACAGATTCCATTACAGTATAGATTTATAGTACATGGATCCATTAGTGATTACTATCAATCAGTTGTTCCTCAGAGGCCAGAGGGGTATCGACATTGAAATCAAAAGCAAATGAGACAGAAACAAATATATAGATGTATATGTTTTCTAATACCAAAATTATATCATGATTGTTTTTTATCACATCTGGTGTGAATACGTGAAGTCATTGTCATGAATTGCGTATTAGAGTTTTGCAATCCAGTTCCATGACTATCTAATCTGTGGATCTGGAAAGGTCGATAAAAACATGATAAAATGCTTGTTTTACACGGTTATCTTTAAAATCATGTCATACTAGTCAAGGTCAAGGCATTTGAGCGATTCGGCCTAACTCAACTTTTCTCGCGCCTTCTTTCCAGATTGCAAAAACGATGGGCCTATCCTATTTTTGTTGCACCTGGGGGGGAAAAACGCATAAAATGCTTGAAAATTTATAAAATCTACCTTGGAATAATCGGCACCTTTATTCCATTTTTTTAATTTGTGTAACGTTTCTTATGTCCATAAAACAAAAACGTGGTATAAATAACCTAATGATAACATTATTGTATTACAAGATATGTAAGCTTATTGTTGTAAACTTTCAATAACAGCACAAAGTGAAGTGGTAAAATTTATATTGAATGTTGGCATGACCTTTTTAGTAGCGTTGTTAAAATGTCAACATACAATTTGAAGGTGTTGAGCTTTGAAGCTCTTGAAAGGTGTTATGCCTAAAAAATCAGGGCTGACGTAAGCTCACGCCAGCAATGACCAATCAGAGTTCTGGAAGGCTTTGTGTCGTCCAGATGCTACCACGTCGCAGAAGGACGAAAGAGATAAGGTTGTCGTCAGTCTGACAGGTGAAAACTTGGCTTGTGAGTGCTAGGAATTGTCCACCTGCCCAAGTTTTAGACGATTTAAGGATATCTTCTGTGCAGTCAGCCAATGGGAAGCAGGTTAAGAATTATACCACATCTGCCCGACTGCAGAATTATGATTATTACTTTGAACCTCTCGACTATAAATAAATGGCTCCTCTCTCATTTATGGGATCAGTTCATTTTTAATCTTCTAATAACATACTCTCTCTCTCTATTTAAATTCTCTCTCTATATTATATCCCAACTTGCTAAATTAACGTGTAAATCAGTGTGTGTCTTGCGCTGCTGTTTATTCTCAAACAACACATTGTGAACTTTGAATCCTGTTGGAAGCCACCACCAGCGCTAGAGGACGATTCAAATCCACTACCTTATAATTTGGAGGAAAAAAAAAAGTGTAGGCATAGAATTGTAGCATTGACTTAAGATAGGCCGACCATGTCCTCTTCGTATAACGGGGAGTGTCCAATTGTCAATTAATGTTGAACAGGAAATCAGACCTAAATGTTTTAAAATTTATTCCCCTCTCTTACTTTTTTTGCATATTCTTCAAGCTATACAACCAACTTTATCTTGTAAATCGGCTTTTGTCAACTGCTTTGCTTTTGTCCTTTTCCTCTCATTATGTACATCGCTTTTGGCCTCCCATTAGTACGCATGATTCAACTAATTTTTTGCGCAAGAATTAGATTTACATTCAATATGACATCATTTCATATGTATGTCATGCTGTTAATGGTACATGATTAGTTGTTAGATGAATATTTTTTTTTTTTTTTTANTTGGATCCATGACCAGTTCACCCCTTCCAAACACCCGAGTGCTTGGTGCAATGTAAGCTGTCCTAAATTTTATAACCATGTGCAACAAATAAAAAAGATCTGCTACAGTCCGGAACAAGGTCACGACAATTCGCAACTCATAGTCTGTCTTCACACATGAAACATTTTCATCGCCTCCCACAGAAGGCAAGTAAAAATACAATGGGTCAACAAAAAGTGCGACCAAGCATGCGACGATGAAAACCCGGTTCCATTGCAACACAATATCACTACCTGGGTCGAGTATTCTCTTGTGCCATGGTTCATTTTCGTGTACAAGAAGTGTAGACCACCCAATTTTGCTTGTTTCTGGTAGCCGATTTCTGCCCCCATCCAACCCATTTAGCACAGAAGGTAATGCAATCTTGTACGCGGATGATGACCTCTCAAGGTGCATTGGGAGGTCATTTTTTCCCCACAGAGATTCTTTATGTTGTTTCCCATCAGAATAAAACCTAGACAGAAGTTCAACCAACAAATTGACTAGATATTCCCAATTTTTCAGCAGAAAACAAAGATAATCTGCATTTAGCATAACTCGGACAAAGATAACAACTTTTCAGCATTATGAAGACAAAACCAAACATGTTTCCAGAACTCTTTGCTCTGGAAAACAAAACAGAAAGCAGAAACTCCCCACCGCCCAAAAACAAAATAATCAAATACATACTCAAAATCTCAGAAGATTTAGTTAAAGAATATTAAAGAATCATATTCTTTAACTTGTTTTGTTTTGGTTCAATATAATTGAAGTCCAATAAACTCTCTCATGCTCCAGTTCAGTGAAATTCCAAGCTTTCCTAGTTATCCAACAGCGACAAATCTGAAACTTTCCTACATCTCTTCAGTTATTAACGAAAACTGTAATTAAGAAAACAGAAACAGATATCTTTCTAAAAACATGATTTACGATCTATTAGTCTCCAAAGACCAAATTTTTTAACTCGAACTACTTTTTTGAAGTCAAATAAAATTTTCCCACCTTTTCTCAAGCACCAAACACAGCTCAGAAGCAAAAACAACACCAAGAAAACTCAACCCACCAAATTTTCCTTAAAAAAAAAGAGAATCCACAACAAAACATGATAAAAGAAAAACAACAACAACACCAGAGATAAATTAAAAAATAAAAATAAAATAAGTAGAGAAAGATTACCTGACAAGCTTTTCCTTTTTGAACTCCATGAAAGAAAAGAAAGCATAAATCTGAATCTCTTCAAAACCCCACCAAGAAAAACATGATATTCCAAGTGTAGCTCATTGATTTCGCTGTAAATCTAGAGATTTGTTAGGCTTTTGTCTTTGGGTTAGTAAAGAAATGGAATCAAAGGTGTGTTTTCTTGAGTTAAATTATAAATATTTTAGGTGTGTTTTTTTGAAACAGAAGCCAAAATTCACCACTTTAATTACATTGTACGCTACAAGTCAACAAGCTGTTTAGACTATGGCTCAAACGACAGCTTCAACTTTGTCCTAAAAACTTCCTTTTTTTCTTATTATTTCTAAAAATATTTTTATTAATGTTTTATTTTTTGTCTTTTTTACATACGTAATTGGTTGGATAAATTGTAGGGATAATGAGTAGTTTATTTAAAAAAAAAGGTTTCATCATAGTAAACTCCGTATATTTGATCTTTTTTGTGAGCACCTATTGGTTTCAAAATGTGACTCTAACTTTTGGGCGTTTAATCTTTTTTGCAGTGAGCATATGTTGGTTTTAGAAATGTGATCCTAACATTTATTTTTTATGAATTGTTAGATTATCATGCTTAAATTTTATAGAGCCAAACCCAATCCCATAATGTAATCTGGTCAACTTCTTTTGTTATTTATGTAATTTAGTTGAGGTTGGTGATTATTTCTTTAATTCAATTTTTTTTTCTTCTTTATATATAAAAAAAAATTAGAAAGAAAAAAATGGCAAATTTCTTATAAACCATGTAGAATTGACCTTTATTATTCAGATTAAAGAGTAGCACACTAGGTTAGACCTCTCTGTCAATTGTAAAATATTACCTTTTTATGTTGACCATTGAAATGACATTATTACCCTCAACAACAACCCAGAAATATATTCCTCGAGTGTTAGAAATTAGTTGGTTGGACTAGCTTAAAGCGGCAGCCTAAAAGCTAACTTATTGCCCAAGTGCTTTTAATTAAAACCTGCAAAGATAAATATCAATGAAAAATAGGAATATATTTTTTTTTTTTATAACCAAGGTGTTTGGATCAGCTTGCACATATTTTAACTAATCTTCAGGAGAGACTAACATAATAACCTATAGTCACAGCTTCTTACTTAAATCTTGGGACTTAGAGAGATTCAAACTTGAGACTGTACATCTTAACCAAAAAAAAAAAAAAAAAAAATTGTTTAAGAAATTGATACATATATATTAAGGGACTTAAACGCTCTCTCTTTGAAAAACTATAATAAAAATTAATTTATATATATAATAATACTTTACTGATGGGATAATCTACTCTATATGAGGGAGTAGTACCTCCAAAGCAATTGAGAGAGGCAGAGAGCAGCGAGAGAGAAGAGTTGAGAAAAAACTTGCTTGCCTTTCTAATTGTGATGAAGCAATATAAATAACCCTAAAATAATAAAGTCTTAATAATCAAACTAATGCCCAACATAAGGAAAAATAACATCAATTAGCCAAAACTAATGACAATAACATAAAAATAACTCTGCTTTTATAACTTTGCTGCTCAACGCCTCATGCGATAATCCTTTGCCCATGCAGGAGCTTGCCGAGTCCTAGTAGGATATCTTTCTGTTACTCCATCCTCCCCAGCCTCTCCTCTAGTTGGGTTCCTATCAATAATCCCCTCTTCCACTTCAACCTTATCCTCAAGGTTGAGAGAAAACTTCCCGTAGATAGCCTCGAATGCTACAACATCCTCCCAAGAGGTGTCCTCCAGCGGTAAGGCGTGCCATTGAACTAACAATTGCGGCACATCAACCCCCTTACGTGACATAATTCGGCGGCCAAGCACGGCAAGGGGAGTGATGTGTAGCTGACCTTGGTAGACCAAAGGAGGTAATTGCAAGGGTGTGATTGTTAGAACAGTCAAACATGGTTTCAGTAAAGACACATGAAACATGGGGTGTATTTTGGACCTTTCCGACAAGGCCAACTTGTAAGCAACTTTGCCAACCTGCTTCAGAATTGCAAAGGGTCTATAGTATGACTGCCCAAGCTTGGAATAAACCTGCCCACTCACTGACAGTTGATGATAAGGCTAAAATTTTAGGTACACCTGCTGACCCACTTTAAATTCCATAGGTCGCCGACGTTTGTCAGCTTGGCTAACCATACGTTGCTAAGCGCAACCGAAGTTTTCCTTTAACTCTTTCAAAATGTGATCACGGGAGCTAAGTTCAAAGTCTACTGCATCCACATTTGATTCACCTAGCACATAAGGTCGGACCACCGGAGGCTCTCTGCCATACACTAAAGTAAAAGGTGTGGTTCCGGTTGAAGTGTGGAATGAAGTGTTATAGTAGAATTCTGCCTAGGGAAGGAAATTTGATCACTTATCCTGTTGGTCCATCATAAAGCAACGCAAGTATTGCTCAAGGAATTGATTTGTTACCTCTGTTTGGCTGTTTGTTTACGGATGATAAGCTGAACTGTGGAGGAGGGTGGTGCCACTAAGCTAAAACAATTCCTGCCAAAAGTTGCTCAAAAAGACATGGTCCCAATCACTAAGAATTGTCTTAGGTAAACCGTGGAGTTTATAGACTAAATGAACAAACAAAGCAGCAACTTTGGTTGCCATAAACCCATGGCGGAGGGGTCCAAAATGTGCATATTTGGTCAGGCGATCTACCACCACCAAGATGACCGAAAACCCTGATGACAAAGCCAGTTTACTCAGAGTTTTTCTGTAACCACCATGACCGCCCAAGGGTGTGCCCTGTAGAGCTGATATGAAAGTTGTCCAGTAAAGTCGCGCAATGAGCATCTGCCGTTAGATTGTCGCAAATGTTTTGTAAAATTTCAAAAGTGGGAACTAACAAGGCTAAAAAAGACTGCTCGACCGGAGGTAGTTCATCAACAAATTGGCGAGAAAGGGCATCGGTTGCAATGTTGTCCTTTCCTCACTTATAACTCACTACAAAATCAAAACCCAATAATTTAACCAAATAAGTTTGTTGTTCAGGGGTTTGAACTACCTGTGTAAGGAGGTTGCGAAGGTTTTGTTGATTGGTACAGAAGATAAACTTGAGGCCCAACAAGTATTGGTGCCAGCACACAACTGCATCAGTAACAACACATAATTCCCCGGCTTACGCAGACGCGTGTTACATCCGCAAAGATAACTTTTTACTAAAATAGGCAATGGGATGCCTGTGCTGCATGAGAACCACCCCAATACCTTGCCTAGAGGCATCAGTTTCAATCACAAAAGTCTTAACAAAATTCGGCAAGGCAAGTATAGGTGCCTCAGTCATAACACACTTCAGGTTGTCAAGTGCTTGTTGTGCTTCCATAGTCCAGCAAAATTTATCTTTTTTATAGCAAGGACGTTAGTGGCGCTGCAATGTGAGCATACCCATGCACAAACCGACGATAATACGCTGTCAAACCCAAAAATCCCCTCAACTGGCGAACATTGGCCAAAGTCGGCCACCTTGTCATGGCTTGAACCTTGGAGGGATTCAGCTCAACCCCTGTGCCTGAGACAATATGGCCCAAGTAATCAATTCGGCTAACCGTAAACAAGCATTTTCCTCGATTGACATAAAATTGATAAGCTCGTAAGCAATTAAGGGCCACAGTTAGATGTTCAACGTTCACTTCCCCCTTACTGTAAACTAGAATATTGTCAAAGAAGAAGATAACAAACTTCCATAAGTATGGCCGAAAAAGATCATTCATGGCAGCCTGAAAAGTGGCCAGGCATTAGTAAGGCCGAAAGGCATTACCACGAATTCGTAGTGGCCATCATGGGTCCAAAATCCATCTTTTCAATATCAAACTTGACCATCCTTATCTGGTGGTAACCCGAGCGCAAATCAATTTTGGTAAAAATTGTTGTGCCAAATAATTCATCAAGCAATTCATCGACAGTAGGGATTGGGAATTTTTCTAGCACCGTCAATTGATTAAAGGCCCGATAGTCCACACAGAATCACCAAGACCCATCCCGCTTTTTCACCAACAAGACTGGGGATGAAAAGGGGCTTCGGCTTGGTCGAATAATGCCACTAGCAAGCATGTCACGAACCATACACTCCAACTCCCCTTTTTAGAAGTGAAGGTTCTGATAAGGGTGCACACTAATTGATTCAGCGCCCGACCAGACTGGAATGTGATTATCATGAGGCCGCTGAGGAGGCAACCTAGAGGGAGTATAAAAAACTTCCACAAAACTAGTTAAGACCCCTTGTATAAGAGATGGGATTTAAGCTGAGGAGTTGTTACATAGGAGAGGAGAGTTACCGGCTAAACTATAGAGGTGATAGGTATCAGCCACAGAATGTACCCGAAGGAGTTGTTCCAATTGGTGCTAGTGAATGGGTTCTACGCTCTGCGATTGTTTACCTTGCAAGGTCAAGGCATGGCTGAACCAAGTGAAGGACATAGTGAGGGCTTTGTATTCCATAACAACTGGCCCAAAGGTGGCTAACTACTATGCCCTTAACACCACATCAGCTCCACAGATTGGAAGAGCAAACAAATCAACAGATAAGGAATGACCATTTAACTCCAAGGCAACCCCCGAGCACACTCCTGAGCAACTCAAAGTATTCCCATTACCAATGAGCAATTGAAAATGGGAGGAAGAAACAATGGGGAGACCCAAATGAATGTCAACCTGCTCCTATAAGAAATTATGAGTTGACCCACCATCCACCAATACCTCTATCGACTGGCCCCCAATATTCCTCTGCAGTCGGATGGTACTGGGATTGCATTGCCCCTAGAACAGATCAGAGGTCTCCTGATCCTCGAACACAATTTCCTCCTCGGAGTCATCAGCCACTGGCAGCAAATAAAATTTGGCCTTGCAATGACGCCCTTGATAAAAATGTTCGTCACAATTAAAACAAAGGCTCTGTTCATGATGCTTTTGAATTTTAGCCGTAGTTAGCTGTTTCACTGGAAGAGAAGATAGTCGTGGAGAAGGTAGTGCCTCTATCCGTTAGGGAGTAGGTGGAGTTGGCAATAACGGAGGCAAGGAGCTATCGGTGGCTTTCAGAGGAGCCCATGAGCGAGAAGCAGATGGATGCCATATTGGCTGCCTCAAATCCCTTAACTTATCCTTTTGCAAATGGGCCAGGTCAAAAGCTTGCGTGAGGGATTGCGGACGGCAAGACCAAACTTCTCGTTGAATTTCTGGCTTTAAGCAGACACAAAACAACTTAACAAAAAGGATTATGAGAGACTAGAGACATGAGTCAACAATTCCTC